AATTTTTCGAAGTGGTTTATTAGAATCGAATGGTTTATAAAATGACCTAAATAAAACCCTAATTCCATAAGATTGTAGACATAAGAAATTACATTTTTATAAGTATCAATAGATTTCATGAATGAAATTTAATTTAAAAGTAGAAAAGAACTTGTATTTGTACAAAGCTATTCTACTAATATAATAATACTAATATTAAAACTATTCTTTTCTTGGCAAATAATACTGTTATAAGTTTATTTTTCTACAAAAAAAAAACTTACTAAATTTATAAATTAACAACTGTAAGTAGACAAACTTTTCATTTTTTACAATAATATAGTTTTTATTTTCTAATCAAATTATTTTGTTAAAACTTATCAAAACGTGTATATATTTTCCTTTTTAAATAATAAAAAAAAATCTTTCAATATTATTTATTTCCAAATATTTTGAATAGCATATAAATATTGATTTTAATTACAATCGAATCTATAATCCTAACATTTAAAATAAACTACCTTCAAAGCAGTAATTGTTTTTATATTATTAGATAACACTTTTGTAATAATTTTATTCTAAAATATCAACGAAATAGCTCAAAGTAAATAACACAAATTAATGAGAGTTAATAGCATATACGATGACATAAAACCCCTTTTAATTATGTCCAAAATTTTTGGCAAGACTAATCTCAACATTGCATCTTATGGCAAACTTAAGTTTGAATGGGGCATTCACTGTATATGGCCTTTTGTGAGTACTCAATTAAAAATATAAAATATAATTTCATGTTAAAGTAAAACGGATTATTTAAGCTATACTAAATTTTTTTAATTTTTTTATAGTTCTTATTCGGAATAAACCTAAATATGGCAATTTGGACTTTAACGAAAAATAACTCTGCTTTAACATGGTTTTGGTCTTGTGACAACACTTTTCGAGAATTAAGTCGTTTGTTAAGTACTCTATATGCAGATATAAGAACACCAAACATTATAGCCAATATATATACTTTTGACATGGAGCACGGTCGTCCACTTAACCGTAAAATTGGTCCGAGATATTTTTTTATTGCTTATGTACTATTAACACTGTTAATTCTTACTGCCGTTGTAATTGATATATTTACATTTGGATTATCTATAAGAGATATCACTGAATCCATGAACAGGTAATAAATTAAAATATTTTCAACATTTTTAATAAAAATAAAAATGTTTCATTGTGTCACTAGGTACTCGACATCAATATTTCCTTTGTTGTATTTATTTTTATGTGATGAAATATGTAAACGTTTTCGATCATTACAAATTCGATGGCAATCTGAAATAGTACAGATTATTGAAGTAGATCGCAGAGCTATTACATGTCAAGTCTTGGAGTCGGAGCGATTAGCACATGCAAAACTTTGCGACATTGTTGATGATATCCGTACTACTTTTGGACCGCGAATTACTACATACTTATTGTTTGTATTCATCGATCATTTGGCTCGCTTTTATTTTATAGCTTATGTTAAAACTGCGTTTGAAAATTCTCATCCAAATGTCAAATCTATAATAACAAAAGATTTGGATCCTTATTTATTTATAGCGCATACTTGGACTGGCACTTATCTGATCGCATATATGTCTGACTTACTAACTGAATCAGTAAGTACATTTGAAGTATACTAACTATCTACTAACACAGGTTGAATGAACCTGACAGTAATTATGTATATGAAGAAAAAACTACTATGAAGAAAAAATAAAAAACCCAGCACAGTGGGGTGGGAGCTCAGTGGTGATGTGGCATAGTTGGATCAAGTATAATGATATCTGACAGTGATTAAAATCACTATCAAAAAAAATGCTTCGATGCAAATCTTTAGATAGTGTTTAATTTTAAAAAATTGGTGGATTATTCCAAAAGCTACATAATCTGCTAGTTCCTTATTAATATCCTGATTAAGATAAAGTATGTCAAATAAAAAAGGGATTATTGAAAAATATTATTTCTCATAAAAAAATTATGTTGATCCATACACTTTTCAATAAGTTATAACATTATAAAGTTAAAAATGTAAAAAATAAAATCGAGAATTTTCATACAATAATAGCATTCAGTAGCCATTTTCACCGTGAAGACAAAATACAGTTNCATTCAGTAGCCATTTTCACCGTGAAGACAAAATAAAGTTCGAAATTTTTTTTTTCCATGATAAAGTATATTACATTAGCTTTAATTTAAGATATATATAAAAGTATCAGACTTTCCGGAACACTTTCAAAATTTAAGTTGAAAATGTAAATTTTTTGTGAAAAAGTTGTTATTTTGAATCCCCCCCTGTAGCCAGGTAAAAAGTTAGATTTATAAAAAAAATATACCAAATGATAGGTAAAGACATCATGCATTTATAAAAAAAAGAATTATATTGATTCATACATATTTCAAAAAGTTATAGCATTATAAAGTTAAAAATATAAAAAAGAATTTTTTTACAAGAATCGTATTTTTTTATTAACTTTGATATCTGTTTTCACCATGAAAATAAAATAAAGTACGAAATTTTTTAGCGATTTTTAAATTTGTAATATTTTGGAGATTTCCTCCATTTACGGGGAACGAGGGAAATTTTTTCAATTTTTGAGGGTAATGTGTTCGACTAGATACAATTTGTGATCTTTTGACGTATCATTGAAAGAAATCGGTTCGGTGAGAGCTGAGAAAAAGTGGTAACAGACACAAAAAAAAAATCATATCATAGTAAAATTAATACCTTCTCAGCTTCGCATCGAAGCTAAAAATTGAAAAAATATCGAAAATTAGCGGGTTTTCAATTTATAATTTTTTGGGGGATTTCCCCCGTTTACGGGGAACGAGGGATTTTTTTCAAATTTTGAGGGTAATGTCTTCAACTTATATAATACCATTATAATTATTATTAAAAATATACACTACTTGCAAATTGTTTTAAGTCTATAAAAACAAAACGAAAAACAATATATATGTATATGTATTTATATTATTAAAATAATGTTGATAAGGGTGTTTATCTATCTGGATTGTTATAGCGAAATTCAAGGTCCTTAAAATTGTTTAACTTTTTGTTATAACAATTATTTTGTTACAGCCAAATCGTTAAACAAAAATTTAATTATTATATTAATATTACAAAATAATTCATAATCGACATTTATATTTTTCATATCCAATGTTTTATCAATAGTCAGAATTTTTATAACTGATAAATATATGAAACAACTAAGAGTTAGAAGTTTCATTATTTTTAATAATCCGTTGTAAATAAATTTAATTATTTGTACATGGTTTAACTAAGAGTTATCGTGTAAAACAATATTTAAAATTAAAATAATAATTGAAACACTCGTAAAAACATGAGTAAGAAAATCAAATATTCAATTTTTTCACGAGTCATAAAATTTAACTTATTTAATAAAAAAGTATTATTACTTTAATCAATTTAGAATCGTCATCTTATTAAATACCTTTGAATTAATAATTTTTTTTGTTAAAGTTTTTAGAGTTAGGCCTTGTTCTTATAAGTGTTTTAATTTAGAAATATGTACACCAATTAGATAAACAAAATTTATTTGTATAAATTCGAAGAAAATAAATAGAAGTATATAAAAACAATTTTTGAATACAGCTTATTATTTTTATAATTAACCTAATAATTAGTTATTGTTATTAACTTCGTTAGTTAACTTACTCGCAGAATTTACTATGTTGATTTAATAAAGATAAAATATTATTTTAATAAAGCAAAGCTGATAGTTCAACATTTTATGGATGAATAATAAGTAATAATATGAAAATTTAGAAGTAATAAAAAAAGTCTAATTGCACATTTGAAAACATCGTGAAAAGTTGATTTAGAAAACTATATTTTTGTTTCTGATGAAAGTTCCTTGTAGTCCAGTATATAAAACATATAAATTTGTTATAAGTAACAAAAATTTTTTATTTAAAAGTAAGAACCGAAAACACAAACTCCTTATTCAAATATTGTAAATAAACCTTTAGGTCACACCTCACAACAAACTTTTCCAAACACACAGCATCAAACACAAAAAACGTACGCTCAAGTACTCACTAACGACAATACTCAAAACTCAAAAAACCTTACAAACCAACTAAAAACATTTATTAATGATTTCAAGTCATTAATTAACCCACTAATTACTCTTCTCACCACCGATATAAACAAAATACTATTAAAAAATGACTAACTCTGACAATAACATACCTAAATTAACTATACTTCTTTGGAATGCAAATGGAGTAAACCAATATAAAAACGAGTTACAGCATTTTCTCTATGAAAAATTGATATTGCACTAATCATAGAAACACACTTAACACACAAATCTAATTTTAAAATCTATGGTTATACACTTTATAAAACCGACCATCCAGATGGTACAGCACATTCCGGTGCTGTAATACTTATTTCTTCTAATATTCAGCATTATCAATTACCTGGATTTCAAGAAAATTTTTTACAAGCAACAGTTATTAAAATCAAAATAAAAAACATATTAACTTCAATCGCATCTGTTTACTGTCCACCTGGTCAAAACGTAAGCTCAAATGATTTTAACAGATTTTTTTCAACGTTAGGTCACTCTTTTATTGCTGGAGACGACTATAACGCTAAACACAACCTTTGGGGAAGTAGAGCCTCCAATCATAGAGGAAACACCCTTCATACTTCATTAATAAATAAATTTTTTTCATACATATCACCTTTAAAACCAACCTACTGGCCAACATATACTACACGGTTACCAGAAATACTAGATTTTTTCGTCACCAAAATACCTGCTCATGTACATACAAGTATTCAAAATGTATCTGATTTATCAAGTGATCATTCACCAGTAGTACTTTTTATAAAAGAAAAACAATTATTAAACACAAGGCCATCTTAGATTTTATACTAAATTTAATTTCTATAATTAATATTTATTGATACATTATAATTATAATTCAAATAACTAATCGTTATAAAATTAAGAGAATAAGAGTTGTTGTTGCTTTTGAAATAATCTACCAATTTCTTAAAATTTAACACTATCTATGATTTACATCGAAGCGTTTCTTATGATAGTGATTTTAATCACTGTCTGATATCATTTATACTTGTCCCATCTATGCCACGTCCATACAGTGCCGTGACCCACTGTGCTACCATTTGTATATTGAAAACGATTATATACACACAAGTGACCTCAATAACTTAAGTAACTGATATTTATAAAAAAGTGTTATGGATTTATTGTTTTGTTTTTGTCTTGTTGAAAGTAATCTGAAGTTAAGTTGATCCATGATAAGAATATTTCCTGGCTCTTCATTTCTATCAGAGTTGAAAAACATTTAACAAGAGCAACTGCTATCTAATTAAATAAAAAATATATATAATTAAAATTTAGTTCAAATAAAATATTTGATACTATTGAGATTTTTAAATATAAAATAAAATTTAAATATAAAATAAAAATTATAAATTCTATATTATTAACATAAAAAATATGATGTTCAAACTAATCATTTTTTTTAGGATAACTAAAGTAACAAAAATTCAAACTAATTACGGAAAAATATTGTTGTATTGATAAATAAATATTTGTTTTCCTTTAATATGTCAAGATAAAGAAGTAGGACTTTGACTTATGAACTTTGAAATTTTTTTTAAATTAACTTAAGCAAAATTCTTTTAAAATCTATATAATAAAAAATTGTTGTACTCATTGGAACTTAAAATACTTATATCAAAGTCTTCTTTGTGATAATCAAAATTTTATAACTATAAAACTTTAATTTTGGGTGGAAAAGTACTTAAATTAGACCACTTCATTATTAGTATTATAAAATTTTCTGCTTTACTTCATAATAGTAATAATAATAGAGATCGGCCTAGTGGGTAGAAATGTATGTTTCATGGATTCGATCAACAGGGTTCCTATGAAATTTTTAATACCAAAATATCCGTTCCGTCAATCATTGGTTTAACCAAGAACTATCTTTGACTCCGTAACATGAGAAACAGGACCACCACCCTCTGTAATATGTTCAGTTAGGGAAATAGAAAGATATAAACTTCATAATAGTAATAAAAAAGTACTATAGATGGTTGAATACCATGATTTTTAACAAATTTGAAATAATTATTTTTATTTTATCTTATTATTAACTAAAATATATCAATGGTGCATATAATACAAAAAATTGTTTTTTATTTATTTTAATTTTGAACAATGGATATTATTAATGGATACAAAATTAAAATTATTTAATTATTACCTATTCTTAAATATTTAAGGCAAAATTTAATTCTATTAAATTTTGAGATACACGCAGTTATTAAGCGGAGATATTAATAAAAAAAACGGTAGCACAGTGGGGTTGAGGCACAATGTGGACGAGGCATAGATGGGACAAGTATAGATGATATCTGACAGTGATTAAAATCACTATCATAAGAAACGCTTCGATGCAAATCTGTAGATAGTGTTTCATTTAGAGAAATTGGTGGATTATTCCAAAAGCAACATCAACTCTTATTTCTTTGATTATATCCTAATTAGTAGTTCATTGATTTTAAAATATAATATATGAATAAATACTAATTATAATTATTAAATTTAGTATGAAATTGATATTCAATAATTTAATATTGTAATTTAAACGAAGAAATTATAAAAATAATAAAGTAGTTATATTTTGCTTTACTTTTACGTGTATAAAAATTTAAAGGGCTTGACACAATAATTTTCAATNTACGTGTATAAAAATTTAAAGGGCTTGATACAATAATTTTTAATAAAAACTGTTTGTTACTATAAATAAATGCACTGGACTACAAGGAACTTTCATCAGAAGCAAAAATATACTTTTCTAAATCAACTTTTCGCGTTGTTTTCAAATCTGCAATTAGACTTTTTCTATCAGTTCTAATTTTTTAAATTATCACTAATTACATATAAAATAATAATTAAAAGAAAAAAAAATTTGTTTTCAAAATATTACTGATTAGATTTTTAATATGCTAAAAGTAATCAGTTCAAATTTTTATTTTTAACCTATTTTTTTGGATCTTTAAAGATGATGAAACATTTTTGACAAGTTTTGTGAAAGTTTATAGTAAAAAAAATTGAATATTTTACCATAACTTTGGCATCATTAAATAGAAAATTTTATCAGAATTAAGAAAATTGTATAGTTAATATTAATATGCAGTCAGTAAGTTATATAATTACTATTTATTGTAAATTTATCAGAAAAGCTCAATATTTGTTTGCATTTTTATCGTAATAGATAACTTAAATAGAAGTAATAGTAATAATTTCCTAGTAACTTTTGGTGTTTGAAAAGATTCTGCAATTTAAATATTCAGAAGTTAATTAATTTTAATGATTTACTTTAACTAAATGTACCAATCAAAACAAAGTTGTTAAAAAGATTTACTCAATTGAGTGTATTATAAAATTTGATTATATTTGTAAAAATCAATTGTTAATTCAGGAGAAAAAACAATCATTTTTTTTAGAAATGATTTATATAGCAACATGTTACAAAAAAAAATTGTAATATTATAGTCTAGTAGTAGCACACACAAATAGAGTAAAAAAATTATTAAATTACAAAGTAAAAAGATTAAATTTTGTAGTTAAAACTTATCATATCAATCTAAATTCGTCAATAAATATTTTGAAAACATTAGAAATTAATGATTTTAATTGTCTTTATGGAGAACATGGAATGAGATAAAAATCAAAGCAGTTGAAAATTTATTTTAACTTAAAAAGAATTAAGATAAAATGCACTAGATACGAATTGTAGTCATTGGACGTATCGTTGAAAAAAGTAGGTCAAGTTAGAGCAGAGAAAATAAATGATATTCACAAAAAAACATCTTCTCGGCTTTGCATCGAAGCTAAAACTTAAAATATAGTAAAATAATTTTAATACGAATAAGAAATTTCTTCTTGCAAGGGGCGACTAAAGTGATGGGATCATTGATCTTTATTGAAGTTATTGAATCTAAATGAGTTAAAAATTTATACTAACTTAAAAAGAATTAAGAAAAAATGCAAAAAATTCATTGCCATATGCGGGTTGGAACCTCGTACCCCAAGCGTGTAAAACATAAATTTTACCAATCGGACACCGTATGTCGCTACCGTCGGCTGAAAAAGTTAGCTATTTAAGCTAGTTCAAATTTCAAAGTTATTTTTCTCGACTTAAAAGAAACAAACATATTTAAATAAGTTTAACTATCTATACTATATCAATTTTAATTTATATAATATTTATGAAAATCTGTACTCCCCTTGTCAGGTATTTTAAAATAAAATAAAATACAAAACCCAGAATTTTAACACAAAAATAGCATATTTTTGCATACGGTAGTCATTTTTACCATGAAGACAAATCCAGAGGTCAAATTATTTTTTTTTCAAATTAATGTATATTATATCCATGTTTACAGTTGAGTCCGAAACGTCAAAACTCAACTGTAAACATGGATATATCCTCAAGCACTTCAAGCAACAAAACAATCCATGAAAGTTTTAACACATTCATAACGTATATTACATAAGCTTCAATTTAAGATATATATAAAAGTGTCACTATTTCCGGAATACTTTCAAAAATTAAATTGAAAATATCTTAGTAACAATACTCATGTTTAAAGTTTCGAAGCTGAGAAGGTATTAATTTTAGTAAGATGTGTTTTTTTTTGTGTCTGTATACGCTCAATCTCAGCTCTCGCTGAACCGATTGTGATGAAAATATGTCAAAAGATCACAAATCGTATCTAGTTGAAGACATTACCCTCAAAAATTGAAAAAAATTCCCTCGTTCCCCGTAAACGGGGGAAATCCCCCAAAAAATTACAAATTTAAAAATCGCTAATTTTCGATATTTTTTCA